AACTGCTCGGATTGTCGATTCAGCTGGGTGGCCGTGTTGGTCTTAAGCAGGAGACCAAAGTTTTAGTCCAGTGGCACCTTTAAGACCAACAAAGTTTTATTCAAGGTATGAGCTTTCATGCACACACACTGTTTCATATAGTGGTTAAGTGTGTGGACTCTAATCTGGGAGAACCGGGTTTGATTCCCCACTCCACCACTCACAGCTGCGGGATGACCTTGAGCAAGCCATAGCTCTGTCAAAGGTGTTCTTGAAAAAAATAGCAGTTTCTGTCAGAGCTCTCTCAGCCCCACCTGCCTCACAGGGGGTCTGTTGTGGGGGGGGGAAGGGAAAGGAAAGGAGTTTGTAAGCCTCTCTGAGACTCCGAGTGAAGGGCAGGGTATAAATCCAATCTCCTCCTCCTCCTCTTCTTCTTCTTGTTCTTCTGATACAATAAAATGGAAATTACCAATCCATACATATAGATAGAGGATGAGCAGTGAATTAGCATACAGCATAATGAAGATGTTTCAGATTCAAGAACCGAACAGGAATAACAAGCTTAGTTTATATGGTTACCATTTGTTTGGGCTTAATTCCAGGAGGAAACATAGTGAAGGAAATACATATGTCAGAATTGGAGATTGATAGGCAGATGTATCCTTAATTGAGGAATGCTGAGAGTAATTAACTAAGATCCTGCCATTATGCCCCATCCATCTCCTCTCAAGCATGGAGGCAGTCTTAGATTGTCCACCAACTGAATACTTTTTAAGGTAATTCACTATCTGATTATAAATATGTTTGCATATCTCCAAAACACAAACACAAATGTGAGACAAGGTACACACTGACAAAAGCTACCATTTGTTGAAAAAATGTTTTTCCATTCCCCCTTTACAAGTGCATGTTAGAAATCAAAATGAAACAAATGGGGTCTAGTTGATTAACTTTGGTTGGTTCGTCTACCAGTTTAAATGATTACAACTTGTACCATTATTAGAAGTGAAGAATTATTGCGTGTGAGGAAGGCTCGCTCACATCCGTATATCAAATGCTATATTAAGAGTGGCTAAAATTGACATATGTTCCTCTCCTGTACAGCATTAGCTACTTTCACATATGCAGACAAATCACAGAAGATCAATCCTCACCCAAGTACAGGTGTCACACATGCATTCCAACACCACCCTCTAAAGGGAGGTAGAATATCTGCTTTGCATGCTGAAAGTCCCAGGTTCGATCCCTGGCATCTCCAGTTAAAAGGATCAGGTACAACAAGCATGTGAACGACTTCCACCTGAGACACTGCAGAGCTGCCACCAGTCCAAGTAGACAATACTGGCTTTTATGGACCAAGGGCAGGGCTCTTCTTACAGGGGCTACTGTAAGCTCTTGGAGGATTGGCTACATTAGGGGTGTGTCACCTAATATGCAAAGGAGTTCCTGCTACAAAAAGAGCCCTGATAGAGTCTAATTCTGTATGTGTTCAAACTCCCCTATTAATTGGACAACGTAGGGAGCAGACAGGTGGAATCCAGCCAGTTTACTAACTCACTCTTGCCACCTCCCCGTGCTATATTATTTTTGACCTCCCTGTCCCATATGATTTTTGTCCATGCAGGTTACATAACCCGATAAACTTCTAATTTTTTAATGGAAAGCTACAAAACTAAAAATAAGCACCTGTAAGTATAATTTCCTGCTCAGCACTAGCATTTATAGCAAAAATAAATTGTAAACATCGTGGGGCAGGGAACTTGCTTTCTTGTTCCCTACAAAGTGCTCTGCTCATTGATGCCAGTATTCATCACACCATGAAGCATGCCTCCACCCACAGGAGCCAGCCTGCTTGCTGAGCTCTTCATATGAGGTCTGCCTCTGAGTGTTCTGTCTTGAGAAAGGAAGCAGATGGTTACTAGGGGCAGGGTCTTCTCTACAGTGGCACACAGATTGTGGAATGGCCTCCTTCTGGATATCTGCTAGATGCCTATGCTTTTTTGAGCATGGGGGTAAAACAAAAGCACAAAAGACAACATTAAGAAGCACATGGTTTGCTGCTGGTTTAGATTTGTTGTTTTAACCCATTTTGTATAATTGAGATTGAATTTTGTTGCCCCATTTTGTTATAAATTGTGTTCGTGCAAACCAGTTGTGTTTATATGTATGTTGTACAAATGTGTACACACACACACATACGCCACTTGGATGTTAGCTGCCTCAGAGTAACAGAATAAATTTCTTTCATAATAATAAATCTGATCTGGTGTGAATTTTGCACTTGCATATTCATACTCAAATACAGTAAAATCTCAATAAAATAATTGTAATTCTGCCCTCTGCAAAGTGCTCATCATACATTGGCATAGCAGTTTTATCCACCAGGAATGCATATTCTGCTCTTCTCTAAAAAAAATTAGGATAGCATAAAAAAAAAATTAGGATAGCCACAACTGGGAAGATCAGAATAGCACCAAACAGAAGGATGGTTGTTGGGTGATAGTGAGATACTGAAAAAGTGGTATTTAGCAGAGATAAAATAGTCCAGCAGTCCCGGAATAACATAATTCAGACTCAGAGTCCATGTGTGATTAAAATATAAAGTTTTTACTAAATTCTAGCATGGGAAGTGTAACTGGGATGAAAATAACAACAGAGCAAAAACTGCTACATCCTTACTTTACAAAGACAAAACTGGAAGAGAGAGATTATGGCTACTCTTCTTCTTCTTCAGAACACCAAACAAAAATGGGAAGAGAGCCATAAAATGCTAATACACCTTGACACTTTAGTCCCAATCAAATTCCTAGATCAGGGAGAAAATTCCTGGGTATTCTACACCTCAAGAACATTGGTTACATGAGAAACATGTGACTTCCTATGAGTAACATAAACAAACATTTAACCCCAGATATACTGAGTGTTTTCAACTTGTAATACCCAACAATGGTCTTCTTCTAGACTTCACTTTCCAGCCAGACACAATCAATTTTAAGGGCTGTGATCACAAATAATCCACTTTCAATCCACTTTTAATGCACTTTCAAACTGGATTTTACTGTGTGAACTGGCAAAATCCATTTCAAAAGTGCATTAAAAGTGGATGATTTAGTGTGTGTAATCACAGCTAAGAAGTAACAAAGTCTTATACTGGTTGGGAACGCTTTGGGAACTGGAAGCTTCAGTTTAGTGCTGTTCACATTTCAATATTACTTTTTGTGTTTTTACCATAATTTTTGTTTTAATTTACTATCTCTATTTCACACTATTTACTCTATTCCAACGCCACCTCAGTGGATTTCTGGAATATAATAAATATGGCTATACATTTTTAAAAAACTTTATGAATTTGCACTGTTAAAAGAGAGACACTATGCCTTCCCTCTCATTTGAAAGAAGTTGTTGGAATGCAACTGCAAAAGATGTTAATGATTAATTAAACTAGATGCATAAAATAGAATTCTGATTCCATCTTCCCACCAACCCCAGGGGATTTTTGCTCTCATGGTCTCTCTATATGATCTCTCTATATTGTTGCAGATTTTTATCTAGCCAATTCAAGTTTGTTTTGATGAGATTGCCGGGGTGTTAACCAATCTCTCTCTTCTTCTTCTTTACATACACACACACACAACTGCCATCATTCCAAATAATTGAGCAGCCTGGAAACAACATTCTTTTCCATGCAATTATAGCTTCTTTGCTAGAATATTCAACATTCCAGCCTCTGTCACATGGGATACTGAACTGGGTTGTTGTTCTTTTCTATGTGCTGGAGGCAGGGAGAAAATAGGTGAAAAACATTCTACCTTTTGAGAGCCTCCAAGCCAATGAAAGATGGAATTCATAGGAAAATTTCCCCTCAAGGGAAACAAACATTCAGAATTCTGGATTCTCTTTCATTTGTAGACAAATTTACAACCTGACTCGACACGTTTCTTAAGAAGTCCATCTGATTTGTAGGCCTTGATCCTATGTGAACTGTTTTAGCATGGGGCTTACTTCCCTGAGGGTCCTAGCTCCCATGCCATCTGCAAGTATGAGCCACCCTAATGCTTTGAAAAGATTTTGCCAGTGTGTGTATGCTGAACAGAATATATAACTCCCTGCCCAAAGGTCTTGAAAATAAACTATGCCTTTATCCCTCAGAATAAGAAAATAACCACCAATCCAGATTGGCAGCTAGCTCCACAGTTTAAACAAACAGTTTGTCCAGGCAAAATAAAGAATTATTTGGGCGCATGTTAATCTTCAATATATAGCACAGACACATTCAAAGAGAAAGCTAGGATGGTTTTGTGCAGAATCACTGGCAGAAGATTGACTGGCTTCGACCCACCTCCCTCCCCCCATACTGGAACTGGGACATATTGAGAGTGCAGTACATTAAAGAGAAAACAGCCAACAACAGCCAAAAATGCCTTGAGGGAGAAAACACACAAACTCAAGCCTGCTCTTTCAATATAAAAAATCACCACAAAAGCCCTTATCTCTCACACAGCAGAGGAGTAAATCTCAGGTTCTGATCCACTCTGGAGAGGAGCTAAGATGAAGCACTGGCGTTCTTGCTGAGAGAGCCAAAGCTGGTGATTCTTTGGGCCAATTGCAAATGGGGGGGCGCTAGGGGGAAGGGGGATTTAACACATACTTCATTTCTTGTATTTTTCTTACAACCCCACCCCCACTTCACACAAGCACTCACGTGGTTAGTTTTTAGTATTTAGAAGGCATCAATGGATGCATCCAATTTAGCAGGCAGTGCTCCCAGAGGAACTGCTTCTCACAGGGAAAGGAGAGGGGTGGGCTCTCTTCAGAACCCCCTGGCAAAAGCAGAGTTTTCGTTGAGACTCAAATGTGGAAATTAAAGTGACCAGATGAGCTTAGGAGCAGAGGAGGAGACGGGAGAATAAAAAGGAGATGATCCTGGGGATGGTCTCAGAAGCTCTGAATCTGTAGTTACATTTTAAGAAATACAACAGCTGCAGCTCCCCTCCCCAGCCAAATAAGATGAGATCTCTTACCTTTCTTGATCACAGACTGGTCCAAGAGATTCATGCCGGTTTCATCCACAGCCTGGGGGGGGGAGGGGGAAAGAGATGTTTGATTTGTGCTATTTCTCCTCCTAAATAGCTCAATATATCCGAAGTATAAGCTTTTGTGTGCATGCACATTTCCTCAGATACATGTGCACATGGAAGCTTATACCCAGAATTAAACTTGGTCTTAAAGGTACCACTGGACTCAAACTTCGTTCTGCTGCTTCAGACCAACAGGGCTACCCCACCTGAATCTAGCTCAGTGTGTGTTATTGTGCAACAATTAAAATAGAGACAAAACTGGGGGGGGGGCTTTTGCTCCTTTGACATAGACCCACATCCAAATTTGAGCCTTGCATCAGGTGGTACTGGAGATCTTTAAAAAAAAAAAAACATTGCCCTTCGATGTCCTGTTTCTCAAATGGCATTAAAAGGAGAGGATTTATGGTTTGTGTTTTTGTAGAAAAGGAAAGCTGCATAGCATTTTCAGTTTGCATTTGAACAAGACAGAGTTATACTATTTATGGGAAATGGGAAATCTCAAGGAAAACCCCAATTTGCTCTTTATACCAAGTGATTTTAAAACGATCTGGCTAAAAGTCAAAACAGTTTTAAGTCCCATGGATTTCATAGGGAGAGGTTTAAATAGCCGTTGAAACTTTGTGGAACATTTGGCTCTGATTTAGTACTCATTTACTTGGGAGTAAGCCCTACTGATCAAGTTGCAGGAAAGGTAGCCTTTTAAGTCTACTACAGCTTACGAAGTGGCACCTTAAAGACCAATCATTGTGATTCTTTCAACAAAAAGAGAAGACTTCTCCAGACTGGTGAAGTGGATTGTAGTCTAGGAAAACAAGATTCTGCCACAAAGCTGTTTTATTTCAGATGAATAAAGTGGGGATTACTTCTGAGTAAACTTGCATTGCCTCAGCCTATAAGAGCCTTTAAATTGGATTAAGCCCAATTTATTACTGTGTTTAGAGGAAAACAGAATGTATTTTTTAATGTTTTCTTTTTTAATTTTTAATGTTTTTAATGTTTTCTTTTTTTAATTTTCTCACATTTTCAGAACTTAAAACCTGAGTGAATTTTAGAATAGAGTCAGTCAGCATGATTCTTTGTAATTAGGTTTGTTGGTTTTTTTAAGCACAAGCACATAAAAAAGCATATTGGCACAAATAGTATTCAAAAAAATTGTGAACAACTTGGGAAGAATACCGATTCAAAATGGCTTTTAAGAGCTCGGCTTCTAAGAGCTGCTACCCTTAGAAAGTGGGCCTTTGGAAAAGCAGAATTCAGAGTCTAATTGTTGAAATGTTTGTGAAAATGGAAACAAGACTATCAGTGATAAATTACTGAATGATTTGGAGGAAACTATTCAGATTAAACACACACACACTTTCATCTGTTATGTGTTTTTTAAAAACACACTCAAGAAGACCCAGATAATGCAAGACAAATACCAGCCCAAGGGCAGGACCAGCAGGATTTACTGAGTTCAACGAGACTTTTTCTTAGGGGAACACAACACTGCCCACCCACTCCCCACCCCCAAGGAAGGGATGAGATTCCAGCAAAAAATCATTTTAAAATCCCATCTAATTCAGTTGGAGGGAGGGATTAACCGCACTCCTTAAACTCATCTTCTGATGAAAAGCCACGTCGCTTCAAAGCTCTTCAACTTTGCCCCTATCGTGTCCTCACGCTCCCTGCAGCCGGAAGGGGTGTGTGCGGGGGTCAACCTCCAGGAAAATCTGTGGAGTTTTAATTCGGAATGACCACAGTTCGGATGGGGGGGGGAGGGCTGGATCGACTACACTCCCTTCTGCAAGGACCCTCGCGGTTCGCCCGCTCGCCGTCGCATTTTGTCTGGTTTAGGACTGCATAGTTTTGCGATGTTTCTGCTCCTGGTGGGAAATGGGATCGTGGCCCGTTTATAACCACCTCCCCCATCCTCGCCCTTGGAAAGTTACACAAAAAGGAACTGTAAAAGGGAGACGTCGAGGGGTCAGATGAAAGCCAGACAGGTTTGAAACAGGGAAACTGGAGGTTTCCAAATTCGTCGGCCAGAATCCCGAAGCGGAGCGCGCCAGAGAAGAGACTCCTGTTGGGCCAGGCCAGCCTCTGATCAATTTTTTCTCTTAGCTTCCCCACCCTCCAATATTTTATCCTGCAAAAGTTTCCAACATTTTCCCCATTAAGTTAAAAAAAAAATCGCAAGGCAGATAAAAATGCCTTTGGATTTTTTAAAAATACCATCAGGGTTTGAGGAAGATTTTTAAAAGACGGTTTAGGCATAACGGGGAAAGGTCTGCTTTTTCCTCCAGGTTACGAAAGTAATTGATTGGGAAAGTTCTGAGAAGGAATGTAATTCCGTGCAGAGTTACTCTAGAGTGGAAACCCATTCATTTCGACGGGAGTAACTCTGGGAGAAACCAGGACCGAGCCTGCTAACGATCGCTCCGGGAAAGGAACAAGGAAATCTCCCCCGAGACGTTCCCAGTGTGCAGAGGGGGGGGGGGAGGCACCAGTTTGGCTTCCCGAAATCGGTCAGGGCAATCTGACTGCGCCGGGCAGTTTTTTCACAGCGGGCTGCCGATGCCGAAGTCCTCGAGTTCCGTGGGGCTTCTCCCCTCCTCCCTAGAGATTCAGGGCGCCTAGGAGTGTGGCCCTAACGCCAAAGAAGGCTGAAAGAATCCTTTTTGGTTGTTGTTCCCGTCAGCCAATTTTCGTCGCCTGCCTTTTCCTCCCCAGTGGGCCCGATCGTGCTCACCCGGGGGAAAAAAGAGTCCATTAGGGCTTCCTTCCAAGTCAGCGGGCGGGCGCCTGCTCTGCGGAGGGAAGCGACGGATTCCGCGGGGCCTGCAGATCCAAACGCCGGTCCTCCTGCACTGGATCTCCTCTAGGAAGGCCGTGAGCCCGAGCCGGCTTGCTGGGCAGAGCTGCCCACCCCTTTGCTCTGGGGAAAGCCCTCGAGAGTCCGCCCACCCGTCTCCCTTTTGCCCCGACGGTACAAAGAGCCGCTCGCCAAGGCGGCTGTGCGTTGCGCGGCCCGGGAGAGTTCCGGCGAGAAGCGCCCCTTACCTGGATGTCCTCAAGGCTGGGGTGGCCCAGGCCGTGGAGGCCTAGCGGGCCGTCGCCCAGGGCGTGCGCGCCGTCGGCCAGGCCGTGGAGCAAGCGCGGCACGCCGGGGTAGTCCCTGCGCGGGTCCAGGCCCAGCGCGCGGTGCGTCTGCGAGAGGAGGCCGGCGGCGGCGGCGGCGGCGGCCTCCTCCTGGCGCGCCCGCTGCGAGTGCCAGCCGGTCTGCTGGTGCTGGTGGATGGGGTTGATGGCGCCGTAGGGGTCGCCCAGGTGCGGGTAGCCGGCCTCCTGGCTCTGCGAGTAGGGCAGCGGCGGCTGCGGGTAGGGCGGCGGGAAATAAGGCGGCTGGAAGTCCGAGGCGGGCGTGTGGCAGAGCGGGGGAGCCGAGGAATAGGCCGCCGCCTGGTTCAGGGAGGAGAGCTGCGAGAGGCGGCCGCCGGCCGAGCTGCCGTTGAGTCCATCGGAGCGGTCCTGCAGAGGAGAGAGGAAGGGAAGGCGGGAAAGGTCAGCGAAAGCCGCATCAGCGCAGGGCGCACGCCGGAGACAGGAGCGCCTCCAAAGCAGGGGACGCCCTTCAGGCTCTGTTCCGCGGTTCCCCGAGGGCGCCCGCCTCGGAACACCTGAGCCCCCAAGGCGCATCTCCCGCCCGTCGCTGCCTTCCCGGAAGGCAACCCCAGAAGCGCTCGGCGCGCCTCTCGCCAGACGCTGCTTCGGGGGCCCTCTTCCTAAAGCGCTCCGGGCTTGAGGAGAGCCCGACGGGGCTGGCGGGAGAGAAAACGCCCCAGCGCTGCTTGCGCGGAGCCGCTCCCTTTCCTGCTTGGAAACAAACTTTCCTTCGGGCGGCGCGGGGGGGGGGGGCACCCCAGACCAAAAGACGCTCCGCGACCAGGTTTGTTACCCTGCCGGGCAGAGAGCAAACGCCCAGCGCTGCTCTCCGGTAAAGTCCGCGGGGCGTCGGACTCCTCTTTGTTTACTGGATGCGCAGCCCACCACCAGGCAACCCGCGCGCGCACTGAACTAGGACCCTTCTCGCCCTCGCCTTGTTTTGTCTCCTTCTGCAAAGGAAACCCAAACAAGAAGACCTCTCCCCGTGAAGTAGACACAACACGCGGCGGCAGCTGCGTCCCCAGTCCTCGCCGGGCCAAATAGCCGGCGAAATCACCTCAGAAATTGCCGCGGTCGCTTCTTGCACTTCTCTCCCCCCCCCCCCCCCCCCCTTCCCTTCCACAGGCACACACACACGGCCTTTCCCCAATTCTCCATAGGCGAAATTAAACCAACCGCCAGGGACGTGCCGGAGCCCTGACATCTGGCCAAAATTAAAGGGTGAAATCTCTCTTAATTTGGAGGGATTGGGTTGCTTCAATTAACTCGCGCCGAGAAGAAGCCCGAGAAGGAGGGGGGAACACCTCGCCACCCCCACCCACCCCCACCCATACACGCAAGCACAAGAAATCCAACTTACCATGGCGGTATACGTGTGAACTAACATCTGGGCGGTGGCAGCAGAGAGAAAAATTCTTCTAAGACAGTGCCCGAAACCGGGGTTTGGGGGGGGGTGAGGATAATAATAAGAGCAACGAAAGAAGCCCCCACCCCCCGAAAAGGAATCCGTTAAAATCTACCCGCGATCTGCGCTTCCATGGATGTCTCCTCCCAGTCTGTAACCGAGAGATCTCCTTGGGGAGGGGCTGGCCCGGCGGTTACAGACCGAAATGCAAAGCTTTCCCTTTAAAATCTGCGCCTGGCTCCCGCTCCTTCTCGCTCCCTCTGAGCTCGATGCAACTCCATGGACGCCAGTTATAGGGGCGGGAGCGCGCCTGGGGAGGCGGGAGCGCGCTTTAAAGAGACAGGGCGCCCGAAAGTTGCCTGGCCGGTTTAACCCGAGCGTGGGTTGACTCTGCCAGTGCTTAGTGGAGGAGGTTGGGGGGGGGGGGAGAGACATCAATGCTTCGCCGCCTAAGACTCCCCCCCACACACACACACACATACACGCTATTTTGAGACGAGACAACAGCGGAGATCCTGTGTTTGGAGTTGGTTGAACAGAGAAGGGATTTCCTTCCGAGTAAACGGACGTGGGATTTAGGCTGCTCCTGCATTGGGAAGGGGGTTGGACTAGATGCCCACTGAGTACAGGGGGTTGGGGGTGGGATCTGAGGACAATTTTATAAGGTTGAGCCTCAAGGCTGCATTCGAACTACTGGGAAGTGAATCCCATTGAACGCAGTGGTATTCCCCTCCCCCCTTTTTAAGGAAACGTCCTTCAGATCTGGCTGCATCTTCCTTGTGCGTGTAGAGTGATAGCCTCAGTTTAGGGTTTGTATACCTTCATAGCTACTGGGGTTTAAGCCTGCTGTCTGTCTGTCCCTCCAGCAACTGGAGAGGTGTTGTTTACCAGCAGTTCAAAATCTGCTAATTTCTAGCGTTTAATCGCGAGTGTATAAAACTTGTATGTGTAATACCTGTAATGGTGCAGTGATCAGTATTGGACTAGGATCGGAGGGGCCCAGGTTCGAATCCCCCAGTCTGTCATGGAAGCTCGGTGGATGATCTTGGGTCAGTTACAAACACGCTCTTAGCCTAACCTACCCTCACAGGGTTGTTGCGAGGATAAAACTGATGTAAGCCTCCTTAGATCCCCATTGGGAAGAAAGGCCGGGGTACAAATGAAGCAAAATAAATAAAAAATAATATTTTAAACGATGTTTACAAAAACTTCCAGTCTTTTTGTTGATGAAGGTACAATGTGGGGAAACTCTCGAATCTCCTCCTGCCTTCTTTATGTAATCGCCTAAATATATGGATAAGGAAATGTGTTTTCATAAATCTCCTTTTTTTTCTTGGTAGGGTCTGGGAGAAATTTTGATCTCTTGCCTTGTTTAATTGGACAACATTTTAAAATCAATCCACGTGGAAGTTTGCAGTGGGCAAGGCAGTTTTTAAAAATCTTCACCGGGGGAGGCCGATTTAAAAGGGGTGGGAAGATGAGCTCCACTGAGCATCCCTGAGATGCGCTTTGAGTGAAAGCAGAGGCTGCTTCTGCTCCCGGTCTCTCCTGAGTCGTGGGGCGAGGGGCGGGCAGCGAAGGTGCCCAGCACGTGGAGGCAGCTTCTCGCCTCGCTCTCAGGTTTAATTTTATTACGGCGATCAAGGTGCTAATTCCCCCCTCTCTCCCTTACTTCTTCCGTATTTTTAAAAAGAAGAAGATGAAAGCCCCCTCCTCCCCCTCCCGGCAGGCACCGACGGCAAAGCATTGATTTACCACGCAGGAACCGTGGAAAACTGACAGCCAAGAGCGTCTTCTCGGCTGGTGAAATTGACAACGTCTTCACGCCAGTTTCTCTTTGAAAAACTCGCCACTTTAGACAAAGAAAAACTGGCCACTTTAGACTCCGCCGCCGCCCAAAAGCTACAAGGAAATAAGGCGCCAAATCTGACCCAAAATCCGTTGTTGGCTTTTTAAAATGGAAGCAATATCTTCGTGTTTGTGTGTAGATTTGCGTCACGATTGAAAAGAACTGTGCACCCCTTTTTATTTGGGAGTCAGCTCCATTAGTTTTCATAGGGCTTATTTGCAACCCGATGCACAACTGATTTGAAAGACAGACTCACTGAACTCAAAAGACATTAAGGTAAAGGTTTCCCTTGCTCGAAAGCCAGTCGAATCCGACTCTAGGGGTGCGGTGCTCATCTCCGTTTCCAAGCCGAAGAGCCAGCACTGTCCGAAGACGTTTCCGTGGTCATGTGGCCGGCCTGACTAGACGCCGAGGCGCACGGAACAACAAGAGACATTACTTTTGAGTGAACAAATCCTTAGGACGAACCTTATTCCGAAGGCCAGCGAACCAGAACATTTCAATGGGTCTTACGTCAAAGAATAAGCATCCCCATGGCCCATTTTTTAAAAAATTAATCCTTGCTATATTATCATCCTTTATTCTTGCATGCCTAGGAACCTTCTTGCTCGTTTCCCTCTCTCTCTTTAGGAAAATTAATTTTAATATCATTTTGTTTTGCTTTCTCCCATTTCCAGTCAGCTGGGGCAGAGAAAGGCGGGGAGAACGGCAATTAACACCATAGACAGATCTGGGAAGATCTCTCGATAGGGCGGAGTTAAGAAAACACGATCCAGTTCCACTGTTAGGTGTCCTTGATAGGCTTGATTCCTGAGCAGAGCACCGCGATCCTAAATTTAGAGTGATTCAGTTTAGGAACTGGAATGAAATCAATGTGAGGAAGGGCTCCAGTTCAATGCTATGTGCAACCAGACTTAATCGCTAATGATGGGGCTAGCAAGCAAGCCATAAGCAAAAATGGTTGGTCTTTAAAGTGCCAAGAGAGCCCTAAAGCGGCTACCCCGTTGAAATGTGGCATCGAATGGAGAAAAAAAAAACACGTTTTCACCATCCCTCGCTTTCTTCTCCCTCAGAAACCCCCGAAGCCAGCGCGGCTGGTAGGACCAAATCTGCAGGTCGCCTCCGGGTTTTTGGAGCAGAGTCCTTGAGGGGGGCGGATGGGGGGGGCGGTGCTCCCCCCTTGCTTCGCAGGTGCTGTAATTGGCCGATTCGGTTTAAAATCCGGAACCGAGCCTAATCAAGCGTGCAAGAGAGGGAGAGGGGCCGACCCCCGAGTCACGGTTACAGATCACACAGAAGCGACTTAATCCTCACCAGAGTCCCTGAGAAATAATTGACGCTGGCAAATCCATACATCAGTGAGTTGGGCACACACAACGTGTGCACGCACCTATCTGTTTGTAATCTGTTAACTACTGCGGTAGGCCTCCTCTTTCACACGCACAGGAAGGTAACACGAGAGTTCAGCGGCACCTGAAAGACAACAATTATTTTTCCGGTAGAGGCTTGGTGAATCCGGGCTCACTTCGTCAAATGCAAGAAATGTGCCCAGAGACAGAAAGACTGAACGATTGATTATTAATATACAGCTGTGATTCATGATTAAATAACACTCCCCATTGAGGATGGTGGGTGTGGTGGCTAAGTAGACCTGCACAGCATCTCTTTGCACATATATAAAAGCGCGCTTCGTCAAGACGGATAAACAGGTGTGCTTCTATCCATGTTTGAACTCGTGAGAACCAGGCACATATGAAAGGAGAGAGAGCGGAAGGGGGGGGGGGGGGAGGGAGAGAAAAAATGAAGGATTAAATTAAGCTCCTTCCTGGGTAGTCCCTGCCCCCCTTTTCCTGGCTGCGGGGGGGGGGGGAGAGAGAGAGAGAATATGCTCCGGACTCGATGACTCGCCATTCGCCTCTCCCTCTTTCTGACCTCCCCTTTTTTCTGGATTTCCTTTGTGGCTCCGCGTCATCGTTTCTGTACATCTGTACAGGCATCTACAATCTGTCCCATGAAAGTTCCTCGGTCGATAATAGATCGATCGGGTTGTCCCTTCCTAGGACATGATCCCTGTTATCTGTCCACGTGTCCAGGGACTCACGGCTCGTCCTTAGCACCAAATCTCCCGCTAGGAGCTCAGCAGCTCAGAAAAGGTTTCCTCTTTGCTTCCCTGATGGGGTCAGAGAGGTCACTTTCCTCTGTTTCTTGCTGGGACTTCGACTCCCCTCCCCCTCCCCCTCCGGGATTGCTTCTGCCCGTGGAGGATCCGCTTAGTTCTCGTGGCTAACAGCAGTCGAGGGCTGTTCTCTTCGCCTCCTTTGAAGCCGGGGGCTAGTCCCGCATCTTGTAGCAGCGAATCACACAAGCGGCGTCCGCGTTGTAGGAAGAAGAATTTTATGTTGTCTGCCCTGAATGTACTGCCGATTTGTTTCGGTCTTAAGGGGGGGGGGGCGGGAGTTGGCCCGCTCTTTCCCTCCCACTCAAAAGCCTCCCAGCGCCTTCGCCTCTGCAGGGTGCTAGGATTGGACTGGGAGCCGCGGTGCCTTGGGAGTCCTGATTTGGGACGGAGCCGGGAAAGCCCCGTTTTTTTTGGGGGGGGGGTAAACAGGGGAGTCCCCTGAAAACCTGGGGGGGGGGGAGTCTCACCGCCCACGACTGGAATAGGCAGAAAAGGACCGAGACGTTTAAGCACGATCATTCCATTACCAAACGCATCGTTCCATTTGCAACAGTTTCTTGGAAAGTTCAAAGAGGAAAGGGGAAAAAAGGACGGGCGTTTTGACTTTGGAATGGATTTGCAAAGCAAACAATCACGTCGAAAATGGTCTGAAGCGGACACAAAAAATAAAGAAACAAATAAAAGCTCTGCGGAAGACAAGCTGGAGAGATTCGGCGCGTTTTAGGACCAAATTATACGTTTTAAAAAACAAACATCCTCGTCCCACCAGAAAGGGAGGAGAGCTGGAGCGACCGGCCAGCCTGGGGGAAACGAGATTGGCAAAGAGGGGGGGGGGCTCTCTCTCCTTCTCGCCCTCGTCCCTCTCCTTTCTATTCGGCCTTGGTCTTCTGAAAGCGTCGGGCTCGATCCAGCCAAAGTTCGCGAGACCCGCCTGGGAGAGCGTTAGGCCGCGATCCTAAGGACATTTTCCTAGGAGTAAACCCCCCCCCTTTGGGGTCTCTGTCTGAAGGAGCCGCGAAATCCTCTTTAAATGCCGTGCTTATAAGGATGCTTTCTTGGAAGTAAACGCTATTGAAATAAGTGGGATTTCCTTTCCTCCTCTTTTATAAAAGCTACCTAAAACCTGCCCGCGTATTTTGGAAAGCAGTACTTCAGCCTCCC